GTCGACGGAGACCAAGGATGACACTGGTAAACTCGGAACGATGCAAGGAACACGATGGTACGGGAGGTGTCGTAAATGGATGCTCGGATCGTCGTGAATCGACGAAAAACCAATTGAAATGGAGTTATTACCGACGATACTTCCGACTGAAATTAACGACGAATGGCGACGATTCACGACAAAAGCTTTAAGGGGTTTTGTTCCTCGCTCGACAACGAACACGATGGTGGTTTCGGCTCGTCGATCAGAGGTCGAACGGCGAGTAGATCGGAGTTGAAAGAGGTGTTGACGGGAGAGGGAAAATTGGAAAACTTTCTAGAAATATACGGGAAATTGGGGGTTTATATCATCTCATAATTAAAAATAGTTAAACCAAGAGTTTAGCTACTGAACTTCCTGCACTTCATAAAACGGTCTGTCAACTTTAAAATTTTGCAATTTAACCCACTATTTCTTTTAAAATACCAAATTAGATCCACCACATTATATTTTCTTAATTTTAGCCCCTAAATTGGGGTGTTACAGAACCGTTCCAGCTTCTTTGGCTAAACTGTGCAAGTGGCAAGCTGATTGCCCCAAAAAAGAGGTCTCGAAGGACTACATCTCCGACTTTCACTCTCTGCCGAGCTTGTTTCTTGAATTCTTCAATAATGGTTTCCAGCTTAGCTAGGTTTCACCATCTTCTTCTCGTAGTTTTTGAAAGGACCGTCTTGCCCCTGCAACCTTTATCAGCTCATCTCGGTCCATCTTGAGTATTCTCTGACCATAGCTGGGACTTTTGAGTTTTCCATATCTTGTATTATAACCCCTTTGTCCATTAATGCAAATTATTTATGTTTAACAAGCACGTTTTTGGTGGATCAACACCTTTTTTAAATGATGCAAATGATGAAAATAAAATGAAAGAGAACAAAAATGAAAAGAGTTAGTGAGGCAAATCAAAACAATAATGAAAATGAAAAATCCTACCCCACATGCTTATTATTCATACCCGGACATGATATCTATCCCGTAAGTTGATTTCGAACAAGTCCTAACCGCATATATTTCTAGTTCACATGCTTTGAACATGAAATAAATCAAGAAATAAAATCAAAGCAGCCTAGGGTTTGAAATGAGGTTTTGAGGTGAGCTCTAATTCTCTGTACTCTCCCGGTTTGGGTTTTAAAAATGATACCCGAGTTCTCCTTGCTGGTGCCCCCTTGGGCTTGCCAGACCCTTAGTCCTAAGCTCATTAGAAGCTTATGTGGACTAAGTTAAACTCGAGAGGAAACATTCCCTTTTGCCAATACGGAGAATAAATTCACACGAAAGCATAAGGTATATAAATCCCGAAGGCTACTTGCTAGGCCCGTACGGTGAATAAATTCACACGAAGACGTTGCTTTTACCCCCCACTTAAATATGGTTTGGAGCTCGGGTATAGAGCATGAGATGAAAATTTTGAAAAATCTGAAATCATTAAAAAACGCCAGTACAACTATTTATTTGAAAAAAATAATCAAATATAAATAATTGGAATCGAATAAATAAATTAAAATTTGCAATTTTCGCTCAAAAAGAAAACCGGAAATTAATTTCGGCCTGACTCACTTACCTGTCCCCAGAGGAGTCGCCAAGCTGTCGGAACCGTCTTTCGGGTGGGCCAGGAATTGTGCTTCAACTTGGATTGATTGGGTTAGAGTCGCCACCGACTATTTTAAAACGAATTTAGGTGGGTCGGACACCATCTTACCTGATCTGCGTTGTACCAGAAACGTGTCGGGTTCGTGAGTCGGTTACGGTCAAGGAATGATTAACACCCTTGAACCACATTTTCGGTACCAATTAATTTATTGGTTGTCTTTAATTGCGAAAAATTAAATTTAAATTGAAATTTAAAACATTCGATTCGAATTGCTTACCTTTGATTAGTTGAAATTCTTCTAAAAAAGGGTCGAAAATGTTAGATAAATAATAATAATAAATAAATATTAAATAAATCAAAGGAAAAAAATAAAAAAAATAATAAATCAAGAGAAAAAATAAAAAAAATTAAATAAGTTTTAAAAAAAGAAAATAAAAAAAGAAAGAACAAGTCAAAGAAAATAAATAATAAATAAAAAAGAAAAAAGAAAAAAATAAAAATAAATTGAAGAAAACCAAAAAAAATATAAAGGGAAAAAATAAAAAGTTAATTTAAAAAATATTAAAGAAATCACAAAAGGTTAAAGTTTAAAAGAAATAAAATAAAAACAACATGGAGAAATAAATGATAAATAAATAAATAAAATAGTAATGATAAAATAAACCAAAACAAAACATAGATGATCAAATTGAAATGAATCAAAATTAAAGGATTAAATCGAAATTAAAATGGGCTGAAAAATAAAGAATAAAAAGGTAGGAGGCCAAATCAAGCTTAATCCAAGATTAAAATGATTACATGAGTAGTATGACCAATATTAATACATGTGTGTACAAATGCAAAAGCTAAAAACACTTGAAACGTGTTTTAACTTTCAGAAAGTTAACAGAGAGGAAAAGAGTGGTCGATCACCTAGCCGGGAAAGGAGGACCACCACCCACCGCTAGTCTCCCGTGGTCATTTGGCGTCAAATTAAAAGGGGAGGATCGGTTTAACTCCAGTAGCTCGGATATGGTCTCGATTTTGTGAAATGCGGCCTTCAACTCATCGAAAAAAAAAAACAAGAACCTTTCAAGTATTCACTGTTCCGATATGATTATTCCGCCTTTAGATCGTTTCTGTTCCGAGGTATGTTATTCTCCTCAAACTTCTCCTTTAGTTGATCGTTCGTATTTATTATCTGACCACCAGAGTTGCGGTCGTCGAAAATCCGAAGGTAAGCTCTTCCTTTTTTGGTTTGGTTCTCAATTTCTTTTTCGTATTTTTTTCGCTCGAATATCTCTGTATTTTTCGGTTTGCTCCCTCGAAATGTTTTTGTATTTTTCCTTAGAATGAATCTGATTTTTTGTTCCCCATATATTTTCCCTCTTTTTTCTTGTTACATGAGTTATTTATACTAAAAAAATAGAATCTTAATGTAACTAGACTCCTTGTTCGGTTGTTGCACGTTTGTTGGTGTGATTGTTGCGCCGAGAAATCCAACTGACGTGGAGTGAGAAGGAAGTTACGATTTTGATGGAAAATTAGTGTCAACAATATGTCATTAATCTTTTTTTTGGATTGACTTTATACGAAATTCATTTAAAATTAATAATTTAAAATTTTGATGGTTGTTCGATGAAGTTAGTTTTGATATAAGTTATATGTCTTGAAAGAATGTTTATCATCATTCGAATTTTTAAATAAATATTTCAAAAACCCACATATTTAAAAAATTCTCAAATCATAAAACAATAGTTTCTTTTTAATACAATTTTGTAAGTTTTGAATATGTTTTTAAAAAATTAAAGTGGTAAAGGATGATGTTGAAAACTGATATTTTATGATATTTGAAAATGAATAAAAAATTTATATGAAAAGACGATAAGGTGAAATATTATCGAGAGTTCTAGGGTGAGATATCATAATATAAGGTTAATAAAAGGCGTGATTTAAAATATTATAAATAACATTATATTTTAGGTTACATGTAACTTAAAATGTTATGTTTTTAACACTTTTTTGTTCAACTAAATATATTATAAAAATATAATATTTTCAGTTGCAACCTAAAATGCTACGAAGAAGGTTTGCACATAAAAAAAAAGTAAGAAAGCGTAACATTTTAAGTTGTTAGGTTGCACGTAACTTAAAATATTATGTTATTTATAATATTTTAAGTTGTATTTTTCTATAATCTTATTTTTACTTTGATGTTAACATTAAACAATCATGTCAGTCGTACGTATGTTAACGATTTAATGACCAATGATATTTTTAAAGTTTGGTGATCAAATCAATATACAAATCAAAGTTTAGTGAATACTGTCACATTTACCCTTAACGTAATTGAATGATGTTTATAATTTAAGGATCGATAAAAATATTTTAAAGTTTAAAAAGTCAATTTAAAATATAATCATAATCTAAAGATTAATATATAATATATTAAAAATTAAAACGTGTTAACCCGAACCCATCTCAATGAATATTATATCATTTCATTAACATGCTATTACTTTTATCGAATTTTGAAGATTTAGGAATTGAACTCGTGATCTAAAAAAATTCGATATATTTTTGAAGGTCTTAGAAACTTTTTAAAAGATCATAAGTTTAATTCTAAAGATCTTAAAAGGTAATTTAAAATTTTTAATTAGTAGAATCAATGATACATTAATTAAACCTGGCGTTGGGGGTAGTCTACTATCCTATCTCCCCTTATCACATTTCATTACATATGGGAATAAGAGTCAGCTAATTAAATTAATTAATTAAACTAATTAATGATATATTAACAAAAAGATCTAAATAGAATAATATTGATAATTTTACCGTTAATAAAATCTTTTAAAACTTAAGAATTAATTTAGAATAATATTATATTTTTATATAAAATGTTTCAAAAAAAATATTATATTACAATTACCTCGAGAAAAAGGTAAATAAAAAAAATTGGGCAAGGGTAGTTTAGTCATTTCGTTATAATTCAATCTCTCCGATTATAAGGGCTAGGGTTTTGGTTCATAGCTTTCCATACCCCTATATAAACCCCCTTTCATCTCTATTCTCCTGCAGTCTCTCAAGGGGTTTTCATATTCTCCATCCTTATTCAAGTTTAATTTTTTCTTTACTTAATTTTCTCAACCAGCTATTTAGTCTTTATTTTCTTTCTCATTCAGTTAAAGGAAGCCAATTTGCAGAGCAAAGGCGTCAAATCTTTTTGTAAAATGGCGTGATTTGCATTGAAGGTTGGCAACAGCATTAAGCGATTCTCCGTGCCCATCAGATTTCGATTTTTCGTTTTGATTGTGGCCTCGAACAAGTCGCAACATCCCTTTCATTTCTTTGATTCTTATTCGTTTTCCGTTCAATTTAAGAAAGCCAATTTGCAGAGCAAAGGCGTCGTACCTTTTATAAAATGGCGTGATTTGCATTGAAGGTTGGCATTAATATTTAGCGATTCTCCGTGCCCGTCAATTTTGAATTTCGTTTTGATCGTGGCCTCGAACAAATCGATACATCTATTTAGTTTCCATTTCAAAACGAAGTTCAAGTTTTTCATATTTTTATGACTACGAAACGGGTAATCTATCTTGGGTCCTCGTTGTTTTCGTTTAAAGGTGTCCAATTTTAGTTGAATTTGGATTTTTGGGCTTGGGTTTAGGGTTCTTTTAAAGGAAAACGGATGTTTTTATCAACCAAATTGAATGGGTATTCTGAGGTTTTCTTGAAGATGGAAGGCAATGGAATTTTAATTTTGAAGAATATGACTGCAGTTCTACGGCAAACGTATCAGATCTTCAAAACACTGTTGCAATTAATAATAATCAAACCCAAATTCCTGGAACACCCAAACCATTGTTTCCTATAGTTTAAAATTAAAATTTCGAAAAAACATATACATAATACACTCAATTAAGAACACCACAATAAGTAATTTAAGGTCAATAATCATTGGGAAAAGTGGGAAAAAATCACACAAATCTGTTAAATGGCTTTCTTCCATCGGATGCATTGGTAGGCGTAGAAAGTGTTGAATCAACACTCATATTGCTCACAGAACCTTTGTTTGACCTGAAAGATCCGACCCCTTGTGCAAATGGGTATGAAAGCCTCCGGTTTGACTCGCTTCGGGGAGTTCCAACGTACCTCTCTCTTGGATTGCTGCTAGGTCTCACTTTGGCTTTTGTTGAAATTGTTGGATTCATGTAGTTCGGAACCGAAAATTGTGGGCAGCTGATAAGGCTGTCGTCGTCCTTAATGTTTGTGTTGAATGGTGAAGCAGCTCTGCTTGATCTTGGATACAGTCGTTTACCAGAACTCGAAGATGGAGTTTGCATCTGTTTTGTTGCAGGGACAACGGTGGACCTTGTGGATTTTGGTGTGGGAGTTTCAATAAAGTTGTCACTGGTGAACTGCCTTTGCTTGCTGCTGCTTGACTGTGGTCTTGAACTAGGCTTCCATTCGGAATTTTGCCTTGGTGGTGTTTGGAAACTCTTCATGCTTTTGCTTTCATGAGCACTGAGGAGAGGTAGACGACGATCTAACCGGCTCCACCACCATTGAGACCCGCTGGGCAGGCTGGAAACAGCGGTGCGAGCTGTTTCCGGAATACCTCTCCATAGCTGTATGAATAGAAATTGGCAGTAAATAAAATCTTCCATGATATTTGGATATGATTCAGTACCAATGTTGGCAGAAGATTTGGACACTAAGAAAAACCCGACTCAAAGCAATATAGTCATAGATTGAACAATATGATACAGATAAACCAATGTAGGCTGGTAAAAATACAACTACCTGGTTAGAATATGCATATGACATGGCCCTTCTCATCTTGATAGCTGCCTCCTCTTTCCTCTGTTGTCTTGCTTCCCTTTCTTCTTTTGTTATAACGCTATAGTCCCAGTTTTTGTTGCCTGCCTCAGACTGATCAGACATTCAACTAAGTTAGGCATTGAACGGCAATAAAGAGAGCAAACACATCGAAATTGAACATGAATATTTTGATTAGCTCTTACAAGAACCAGAACTCATAGGTAAAGAATTGTGTTGATTGTGATAGCAACTTAAAAGAAATATGACATTCAATAACCAACAACTTACTGCCTGGCTTATCCATTTGCCCAAGGTACTCTCAGCTTCCTTATCGTTCTTAAACCGGTCCTGTGCTTGGTTTTCGAACAACTGGATCCTGCGTGACTGAATCTGAGACTGAACTCGCACCAAAAGCTGCATCTGTTTCATGGCATTCGTAGTTTGCCGTCTTGCATTCTGACCTCTCACAACTCCTTGAAGCCTCACTAGTGCTTTCAAAGATCTAAAACTTCGTCTTGCCTGTATTATAAGTTTCAAGAAAATCTAGTTGGAAATCAAATACCGATTCGGAACATGTCAATCTAAAGGCATCTACTGTGCATAACACAACAGGATAGCACGGACCACTGTAGCATATTGTTTCCATAATTCCAGTGGGAACAATGGTCATTTACGGATATCAATAATATGTTAATTAGAGTAATATAAGAGTTACCTTATAACCTCTATAGGCTGCTTGAATTTGGGTTGCTGAAGCGTGTTGGTTCCTTAAAGTTGGTTCTGGTTCAGGATCAACAATCCTAGGAGGAGAAGCTTTTGTAGTAACACCTCTCGGAGAAGCAACTTGTGGAGAACCAGCTCGTGGGGGTGGAGGATGAGGTGGAGATGGAGAAGCAACTCGTGGAGGTGAAACAGATTTTGAAGAACCCCTCGAAGAAGCACCCCTTGAAGAATGAACCTGTGGAGATGCAGGTCTACGAGGCACAATGGGCTGCTCCGGAGGTGAGGAAGGCCTGAATATCAGGTTATGCTCTCGTTCAGCCTCCCCCAAGATTTTCTCGATACTGCTGGGCTTTCTGAAGAGTGGAAGGAATGCGTTGTTTTCTCCACGCCTTAATTTTCCAAGGCCTTTCTTCTTTTTCTTATTACTTCTTTTATCTGATTCCTGAAATGATTTAACCATGGTAAACATCCTATCAGTAACATTTAGTGAAAATTCATGCTTTCCAAGCCAAGAACGCTAAACCATGAGTACTAAACGGACAGAAGAACTAATTTACGGTGCTGCTCCGTATGCACCGGATATGAGGTAGAGTTTGCTAATGCCATGAGATCGAAAACATTAAAATCAATCTACAAAAACACAGATGAAGTGTTGAAGTCTGTATGCACCACTGCTAAAATAACAACTTACATTATTTAGCTTTTCCTTGGAGCATGGTAAGAAAAATCTTTTAATTGCAGAAAACCAACTTCCCTTCTTTCCCATACTGACGGCATTAGTGTGTCGGACTAAGCATCGGAAGAAGTAGAATTAACGAGATATCAGCAGTGCGGTCGATCTCCTATCTGCAAGCATTAAAGCATGCATAAGAATGTTTATGCTACGAACGATACCGATGTTTTCCGGCAAAGAGTATTTCATGCAGACTCGAGAATTCATATCCTCAACCATGAAATCGGATTAAATTCCCTGATAAGAATAATGGCAAGGAACTTTTCATGCCTTAATGAATTCGATCTGAAAGTCTCTTGAAGAATAAATATTGAAACTCGGAAACTTTCACGAACACAACAATAAGGAATTAGCTTGATGATTTAGAACGAATCCCAGGAATTCGGAATCCCCAGTTTTTACCAATAACAGGCCTGAAGTTCTTATCACTACCAGCAACATATCAAAAGTAACAAATACAAAATCTTATGAACAAAGGGTACAAAGAAGAAACAAGTAAATCTTCATAACCAAACCCTAAATGCAAAATCTTCCGCTTCTCCAAGAACATAATCAACACACATCCAAAAGGAAGCTTCACCATGAACTACATGATTAACGAAAACCCAAAACCTTAACTCACAAATATACTTCATAAGAACCCCAAAAAATAATTTTAACAGAAATCCTACATATAACATGTATGGTACCTTGAATGGAGAGCTTCCAAATCCCAAATTCTACAACGAACCCTTCGAAAAGCTGAGTTATAAGAAAGAAAAAGGCAGTAGAAGCCAGCCGTAGAAGACCCTCTCTCTTTTTCTTATTTAATTATCTATTAAAACAAAAGAACTGGGGTAATTCTCTTGTGTGTCCCTTTTTTTGTAGCTTTTTTCTTTCGCCACCTTTCACCTTTTGTTGAATTTGGATTTGGTGCTGGGTTTTTTCAGATTGAGAAAGGAAAAATAAATTCATCAGGCTAATCATGATGATCATTAATTATGCCGGAATTAATAAGAAATGGAGATGGGTTGGCCACTTTCCAACTCGATGTGCTTCCCAACTTCAACTCCCTTGTATGGGATGACTATTTGGATTCCATATCTTATTTTGGGTATTTTTGTATGTAAAAACTAATAATAATATCAATTGAGTTAATATTCAATTGATATTATACCATTATTTGATTACATATCTTTGTATATGTGAGTGTGTATATATTATTAATCTAGTATCTTTATAAGTGATAGTTTATGTTTTAAAAAATTTTAATTATTTGATGATGAACGCTCAAATATTCTCTAGTTTTGATGGTCGAACTCGAGACCTTTAAGAATAAGGCTTAATTAGAAAATTAGTGCCCAAACTATACTATTTTTTTCTAAATAGATGTCCAAACTTTTTTTTTGATTCATCCAAGTGTCTAACATTACAAACGTTACCACTTTAGGTCGCTCGATCGTAACGACTGTTAAGTTCTTCCCTTAAAGGATACATGACACGTTCTGATAATTTTAAAATTTTTATTTAAAATTAAAAAATAAAAATTATATTAAAAACCCAAAAAATTTGAAAACCTTAAAAAACTTAAAATTTTGAAAACTCTAATTTTAACCCCTCAGCCCATGTCGCTCACTGTCCTTTTCCGTTGATGAATCTACACCTGACCTCACCTCCACTCGATGATCAATAACCTCATGAAAAGCCACCAGAACAATAACCAACCGATAACCAATCGACGTGTGAAGGGACAGACACATGATTTTATGTTAGAGGGGGCGAATTTGAACTTATAAAATTTTAGGGGACGAACTTGAACTTATAAAATTTTGGGGTGGGTCAAAACAGATTTTCAATAGAAAATACATAGAAAATTTCTAAAATTTATAATAATTTTAGATTTTTAGGGGGCGACCGCCCCTACTTGCTCCCCCTAGGTCTATCCCTAGACGTGTGTAACCCGACGAATCCAAAGCTACAAATCACGACCTCATGCAATCCAAATGATCAATCGGAGGCAATGATGATGACATATGATTAGGAAGATGACAAGGATGACATCGGCGGCGGCGACCATGTCCGGAAAATACGACATCGACGGGTTAGTAATAGAGATTTTAGGATTTTTAGGGATTTGAAGCCTTTTGTAATTTAATAGAAATTAAGGTTTTTTTATAAATATAATAGTTTTTTTTAATTTTTTTATAAAATTTTTCAAAATTACCATAACTTGACTTGTCACTTAACATAGAAATTTAACAGTCGTTACGGTCCGAATACCTAAAATAGTAACGTTTATAACTTTAGACACCTAAATAAATCTAAAAAAATTTGGACACATATTTAAAAAAACGATATAAGTTGAGTAACTATTTTTTTAATTAAGCCTAAAAATAATAACCTTGGGGCTTTATTCGTACTTCCTCTATGTATTCTTTAAAGTACTGAATCTCTCAAATTCCTATTTAATTCAATTAAATGATGTTTTATTTAACTGGTCCAGACCTATAGTCATTATCTATTACAAATAAAGTATTAAATGATACTTTATTGATAAAAATGAACGATAAAAGAAATTTTAATTAATATTTATATATAAATGAAACTATGGATACAACACAAATGTAGTATTATTATTTTTAGTCCATTTTATTTAATTAATTGATAAGTAAGTGAATTACGTGATAAAGAAAATTTAACATTGAAACAGAAAAAATTGAAACAGAAAGCAATTCCAAACGCTGAGATACGAGTTTAGTGCCACATAAACGACTTCACTATACTACATGCATCCATTAGCTACGAATGCTTAGCAAGTTAAGTCACGATGCAACGAAATGCAATAGACATAATTCACAACATAAGGATATGTAACATATCATCATAAAGATCATAATTTGGATTACCATGAAATAATGAAGTTGCCTTAGCACTAATACTAAAGTGCCTCAGCACCGATACAAAAGTGTATTCGTACTGATACAAAAGTACCATAGCACTAGGGAAGAGAATCCGGATGTCTCTGCTCACGTATTCGAATAGTACATACGCTCAAGTAATCGGGCTTTCCTCGTTGTTTCCCGAGCGTCAACCAAAGGCTAATTTTATGCCACAATATTTTAGTGTTGTTGCTCATAAGGGTTTCGAATATTATTCTTACTTGTAGTCTTATTTAGGAACCCTCGATGCACTCATAACCCCCTTTTTAAGCTTGTAAAGTTATCAAAGTTTTCTACACAAAAATAGTCCGCCAGTACTGATACTGAGTTAGTCAGTATCGATACTGACCTTAAGGTATTGATACTGGTCTTGATATCGATACTAAATTTAGCTTTGATGTTTCATTTAATTGTCAGTATCGATACTCTGATGGAAAGTACCGATACTTTCCCTATGGTATTGATACCCCCATGAATATTGGTACCAAAATTGTATTTTGGAATCCTCAAAGTGTCCCCGGTATTGATACTATCCTTTCGGTATCGATACCAGACCCCGAGTATCGATACTCCTTGAAGGGGTATCGATACTCACCCTAAAAAATTGCCTTATTTCATCTTATACGAAGAACATTATCGATACTGTTCTCATAGTACCGATACCAATGATCTTGAGTGCTTTGTTTAGGCACGTAAATGGCTTTTCAAAGCCTCTCATAAGCTCCCTTAAGGTTACCAAAGGGTTATTAAGTTTTATAAGGTTGTTTAACATCACAAAGAGTCATTTCTTACCTTTAGAGATGCTGAAAAACCTTCCTACACCAAAAGCTCTCACCTTTAATAAATTTGAGGATGAAGAAGAGAGGATAGAAGAGAGGAAGAAGATGACAAATGAGAAGAAAAAGAGAAGAGATTTATTTCAGATTTTTACCCCGTTTATATCATCCCTCCTGAATGATTATTCAATTTTTTTTTCAAACAAGGGGCTAATTACTCCCTTGATCCCTCTTCTTTTAAGCCCAAAACAAAGATGCCATTTTTAACACTTAATGGGCTTCCTACAAGTCCAATTCCTTCATTCTTAACCCAAATAATTTAAATTGAGTTTATTTAATACTCAAATCCCAACGTCTAATACCCGAAACTACTAACCCAATTTTTAGGAGGTTAGAAATATAATTTTATTAATATTCAGATAGAATTAAATGTTTTTAAAATATATCTAAAAGTTCAAAAATGAATAATAAAATATTCGTTTATATATTAATAAAGTTATTATTTATTGACAATATATTAAATATTAATCAATTTAATTATAATGTAAAAGAAAAACCTGATAAATACGACATAATATTTTTTATGTCGACAAGATCGTATCTGTTTAAAGATAACTCTTAATCATTTTACATTGAACGCTTACACCCTTGATACTTTTGATGTTCAAACTTAAAACTTTAAGAAATAACAATGATTCATTGACGATTGAGATTACTTGGTTCGTGCCGGTATAGTATTTCAAAAAGTTAAATATTTAAAGCCCCCCTTCACACGTACAAAGAGGGGCCAACAAGAAACGGTCAAAATGTGCTTCATAGATTTCGTATGCAATATTCGACACGGTTTATATGTGATCGCGACAAATATATCAAAACAAAAGAAAATAACACGATGAATATTAAAATAAAAGTTGATTTTACGAAATAAACATTAATTCTTTTGGTAATTTTTAAATAAAGTCAAAAAAATAAAGTTTAATATTGTGAATGAAATAAATTAAATAGAGAGGATTGTTCTCGTAATAAAATTCTAAAATATCCGATTTGAATTAGTCGACTAATAGATTGAATATCAATGACTAATTAAAAAATATGATTATCAACTAATTAAATTTAAGAAATTATTTGATATATAATTTATATAAATTTTGACGATGTTATTATATTATAGTTTATAAAAATATATAATATTTTATACATAACTATAAATTTTATATAAAATAATTAATTTACATAAAAACAAAAACATGCGATTATAGGCCTGTAAATGAACCGAACACACACGAACGGAGGTATGCTCATGTTCGTTCATTTAATAAATAAACGAACATAAACGAACAAAATTTTTTTATTCATGTTCGTTCATTTAAATAATAAACAAACATAAACGAACAACACAAACACAAAAAAAAACTTATTCGAGCACAACAAACGAATGTAAAAAAAGTAAACAACAAGAATAACAACTTAAAATTCATTAATATAACCTACAACTTTAGAGTTAATTTGTTCGAATACGAAAAAAACATACATAAATCATAAATAAGCTATATGAACATAATAAAGTCTTAAAGTTAATTTGTTCAACAAAACAATCTTCTTGAAATCCAAACAACTTATTGAAATCCAAACAACTTCAATAATCTTCGTAACATATTCAACTTACTCTCTGTTCGAACATAAATGAACATAAATGAACGAACATACATGAACATATAATCGAACGTTCACGAAAGTAAATGAACGAACGAGCCCTTTGTTCATGTTTGTTCATTTAATTAAACAAACACAAAATCTTGTTCATGTTCGTTCATTTAATAAATAAACGAACATAAACGAATTTCCACCGCAAAATTCATGAACGGTTCGCTGAACGTTCAGTTCATTTACAGGCCTAGGCGATTATATATATATAATGTAAAACTCTTTTAATTTTACACAGATTTAGGACAGTTAGATGAGTGAAAATAGATGATTCAGATTAACAGTAGGATATGTGAAGATATTCACTTAGAAAAAAAAAACAAGGAATAAATCTAGGCCATCTATTTTTGCTTATCCAACGGTCTTAAATCTATGTAAAACTAAAGAGTTTTACATTGTGTATGTGG